CGATGTCCCCAGTGTTACTGTGGACGGGGAAGGTCGGCGATGCGTCTGCGTTCCGTGTCTGGGGATCTCGGGCGTTTGTCCGCGACTTGTCTGCGGACAAGCTGTCCCCCTGTGCTGCTCCCTGTGTCTTCCTTGGCTTCCCCCCTGACGCTCCAGGGTGGCAGTTCTACCACCCCTCCTCTCGTCGTGTTCTGTCCTCCCAGGACGTCACGTTCGACGAGTCAGTCCCCTTCTACCGCCTCTTCCCCTACCATACTCCTTCCCTCCCCCCCCCACCGGACTTCCTGGTGCTAGTTCCCCCCCCGGTAGACCCCCTCCCCCCTCAGGTTCCTACCCCTTCAGGTGTGTCCCAGGTAGACACAGTCGAGCCAGTCGAGGTTGCTGCTGAGTCTGGTCCTGCTGCGGGTGCAGAGTCTGGGGGTGCTACGCCTGCGGGTGCTGAGCTTGGGGGTGCTGTTGCTGGGGGTGCTGAGCCTGGGGGTGCGAGGCCGGGGGGTGCTGAGCTTGGGGGTGCTGCTGCTGGGGGTGCTGAGCCGGGGGGTGCTACGTCAGGAGCTGCTGAGCCTGGGGGTGCTGAGCCTGGAGGTGCGGAGCCTGTGACTGCTGGACCTGGGGGCTCTCCGGTTGCTCCGTCTCGGCGGGAGCCGCTCTCTCCACAGGAGCTGCGCGAGTGGTTTGCTCGTCGCTGGAGGCGTGCTGATGGAGCTGGAGCTCCTTCGACTGCTGAGGGTGCTGGTGCTGCCGGTCCCGGAGCTGCTGGGCCTGCGGGTCCTACTGAGCTGGAGCTGCTGAGCCTGGGGGTGCTGAGTCTGGAGCTGCTGAGCCTGGGGGTGCTGAGTCTGGAGCTGCTGAGCCTGGGGGTGCTACGTCTGGAGCCGCTGAGCCTGGGGTTTCTCCTGGTGCTGCGTCTCGGCGGGAGCCCCTCTCTCCACAGGAGCTGCGCGAGTGGTTTGCTCGCCGCTGGAGGCGTACTGCTGGAGCTGGAGCTTCTTCGACCGTCGAGGGTGCTGGTGCCGCCGGTCCCGGAGGTGCTACGCCAGCGGGTCCTACTGGAGCTGGGGCTGGTGAGGGCGTTGGTGCTGAGTCTGCTGCTGTCTGTCCTGACGGTGGTTCTGCTGCTGGTGCTGCTGGAGGTACTGCCGCTGGAGGTGTTGGTGGCGCTGGTGCTGCCGCTGAGGGTGCTGGTGCTGTCCCTGCTGAGTCTGGAGCTGCCGCGCGGCCTCGGCCGTACTTTGTTCCGCTTCTGCAGCAGGTTCTTGGTCTTTCTCCTCCGGTAGAGTGTCCACAGCCTGTCCAGTCGCAGTCACTGTTGGAGCCTACCTCCCCACTGCCTGCTCCCTCTCCTTACACTGGTCCTACTGGAGGTCTTGCTGAGCGTCGTGAGCCTGCGTCTCGTCCCGCGTCGCCTGTTCGTGCTGCCCGCGCTAGTGGTCGTGGTTCGCGTCCGCGTCCTCCTCCTGTCCCTGGCACGCACCGGATGTCTCTGCGTCCGTCCACTGCTCCTCTGCGTGCCCTTTTGCCTTCTCCTCCTGAGTCCTCCCTTCCTGTGCTTACCGACCCAGAGTCGGACTCCCTTCGTGCTGCCAGTCCTACTGTCACGCGTCTGCTTGCTACTGTCGTCACTGACCCCTCTTTTGAGTCCGCTGCTACGTCTGCTCTTGTCGCTGAGCTCGTCGACTTTGCTGCTCGCTGTCGTCTAGACTACGCTGCTAGTCTTGTTGCTGAGTCTGCGTTTGTCTGTCCTCCGTCCGTCGGGGGTGAGTGTGCTCTTGGCACGGACGTCCTAGAGGACAGGCAGGAGGAGTTCCAGTGTCTGGCTGCTGCTTCACCTCATCTCGCGTCTGTACTGCTTGCTCCTGAGGGAGACCCGGAGGCACTAGACATCCCGACTCCGCGTTCTTACGCGGAGGCCGTAGAGGGTCCCTACTCCTCTCAGTGGCAGGCAGCTATGGATGCAGAGATGGCTTCCTGGAAGTCCACAGGCACCTACGTTGACGCGGTTCCCCCTCCTGGGGCGAACATCGTCAGTGGCATGTGGATCTTCAGGGTGAAGCGGCCGCCGGGCTCTCCACCTGTCTTCAAGGCGCGGTACGTGGCTCGTAGCTTCAGTCAGCGGCAGGGAGTTGACTACTTTCAGACCTTCTCTCCCACCCCGAAGATGACCACTCTTCGGGTGCTGCTGCACATAGCCGCTCAGCGCGACTACGAGCTTCACTCTCTCGACTTCACTACTGCGTTCTTGCAGGGGAGCCTGCACGAGGAGATCTGGCTGCGCCGCCCTCCTGGCTTCACTGGGACTTTCCCTCCTGGCACCCAGTGGAGCCTCCGACGGCCAGTCTACGGTTTAGGGCAGGCACCACGTGAGTGGCACGACACACTGAGGACTACGCTTGCGGCCCTTGGGTTTGCTCCTTCTACTGCTGACCCGTCGCTGTTTCTGCGCACCGACACTTCACTACCGCCGTTCTACATTCTCGTGTACGTCGACGACTTGGTCTTTGCCACAGCGGACACTGCTGGACTCGCCTACGTGAATTCCAAGCTGCTGAAGAGACACACGTGCACAGACCTGGGTGAACTGCGCAGCTACCTTGGCTTGCAGATCACTCGGGACAGAGCACGCCGCACCATTACCTTGACTCAGTCACACATGGTGCAGCAGGTCCTTCAGCGCTTCGGCTTCACGTACTCCTCGCCTCAGGCCACTCCTCTGTCTACTCGTCACTCGCTCTCAGCTCTGCCTTCGGATGAGTCCGTAGAGTCGAGTGGCCCGTACCCAGAGCTTGTTGGCTGCCTCATGTACCTGATGACCTGCACACGACCTGACCTTGCATACCCTCTTAGCATTCTTGCACGCTATGTTGCTCCTGGGAGACACCGACCAGAGCACATGGCTGCAGCGAAGAGGGTATTGTGCTACCTGTGTAGTACGTCGGGCATGGGGCTAGTTATTGGAGGGCGGAGTCCAGTGGTACTTACAGGTCACGCGGACGCTTCTTGGGCTGACGACCAGGCTACGCAGCGGTCGTCACAGGGTTACACCTTCAGCCTTGGCTCCGGCTCTGTCTCGTGGCGGGCTACTCGCTCGTCTTCGGTTCTCAGCTCGAGTTGTGAGGCTGAGATCTACGCAGGGGCCATGGCTGCACAGGAGCTTCGCTGGCTCACCTACCTGCTGACTGACCTTGGAGAGCCGCCTCGTTCTCCTCCAGTGCTGTACGTAGACAACAAGGCCATGCTAGCCTTGTGTCGAGAGCAGCGACTGGAGCACAAAACGAAGCACATTGCTCTTCGCTACTTCCTTGCTCGTGAGCTACAGCAGCGTGGACAGTTGCGGCTTGCGTACGTGGCCTCTGAGGCCAACACTGCTGATGTGTTCACCAAGGCACTCGCGCCTTGTGACCATCAGCGCTTCTGCACCCAGCTGGGTCTTGTGCCTGTCTTGCCTCACTTGCTCTCCTCTTGACTTTACTTGTACTGTCACATATATATACCTGCTCTTGCTTGTCTAGCTTTATTGTGTGTACTCCTGCATGTGAACTGGCCTTGTGGCCTTGCTCTTGTGCTCGGACTGTGTGGTGACTTTGTGATCCTCCCTGAGCTTTGCTTTGCTTTGCTTGACTGGTCTTGTGACCCCTTGTTCTCCCCCACTTTGCCTATGGGGGTGTGTCAGAACATATATGTAGCTTATGCTGTTGTGTAGGCTACAGTGGGGTATCCCATAGGGGGTACAACCCAATTAGGGTTTTGCTATTTGTACTCACTTCACTCATAGTTCATTCATTCTCGTTCTATTTTCCAGAGTGCAAACTGCGATTGAACTTGTAGTGCATCTAATGTCTTCTCTTGCTCAGGTGAAGGCTGCTGGCGCCGCATGAAACTGACGGAACCGCGCTGAGGTTCGTACGGGGCAAAGGTAGGTTGTTGTTGCTGATTTCCTCGTGCGTAGGATGAACCGTCGATGCTCATCGGTGTTGCGTTGTTGTTGTTGCTGTTGTTTGTCTGCGCAGGTGCCCCTTGCTGGTGTTGTTCGTAGATGGACATGAAGGAGAAGAATTTCTCCATCATGTTTGGGTCGAAGCCTGCGGCTTGATTTGAGGTAGTTTCGGTAGACCCAGCTGCCGGTCTTGTTGCTGTGCCCTCCTCTGTCTGTAGGCCAGAGGCAGGAGGTGGAGTAGGAGAAGTACCGGGAGAGCCTTTAGAGGAGCTTCTCTCCTTCTGCGTTGCCATGCCTTGTGATATTATCGAAGTCTTGATTGTAGTTGAATTTGTCTTGATAGCTCTCATACCCTGTTCGGCTGAGAAAAGCCCTTAGGATCTTTGCAGGACTAAACTCTGAGTAGAACAATGTAATAGCGGAAGCGTTTAGTGACAAGTTTGTGAACCACCTTGCGTTGGTATGTGAGGGCAAAGTAGATTGATTAAAACAATGAGATACAAGCTTTTATAAGAGTACAAGGGAATATGAAGGGTTATAACTAATAACTGTTTTGCTGTTGCTGTTGCGGTTCGATACAGTGACGACTCGGGCAACTGCTCAATAACGAGTCAGTTGTTTGTCCTTGCTGTCGCGCTGTACTTGTCAGGTCAAAGGTCGCTGACCTTTGACTCTCGCGTAACCTCCAGCGGTTGTTCAACCTCCGAGGGTTGACTCGCCAATGCTTCGCTGTGTTTTGCTTCGCTTATAACTTAGTGCTTCGACACGACAGAGGCGCTTAAGTTACTTGTTTCCAACAAGGGGGATTATGTAGCAGGGCAGGTCCACATTGGAACGAAGGATGGTACAGCACACCTGTGACGCACACCCTTGAGTGTAACGCACACCCGCGGCATGATCTCAGCTCGCCAAACCCTAGACTATGTGAGCACACTATGTACGTACTGCTAGTTGCATCTGTGCCATATCGATTCATCCATGTCCAGATGTTCAAAGAATCACGAGAAGGGCATTGCTTACAACGCGATACAAAAGCCAACTCAACATTTTCCAGCTTTGGGACCACCTAGGGTGTCTTACTGTTGGCACCTTCCTTCTCTGCCCTCTCATCTCCCCTCCTCGTCACCCCCACGGCTCCCTCCGCCCCTCTCTCCCCTCCATCGCCCTCCACACCCCTCATCCCATCCTCTCCCCCCTGCTGCATGTCTCTCATGAGCATGTGGGCGTACACAAGCTGGTTCCAGGTGTCGGGCACGCCGGGCAGGCACCAATGCAGGCAGTCCTGGTGGGCCGCATCCAGCAGGTACCCCCACTGAGACGGGTGTGCGTCAGGGCGGAAGGAGGAGAGGTGCGACGTGTTGAGCAGGTGGACGGACGGCAGCCCCGCCACCGCCTGCTCTGCCGCCCGGTCGCGCGATGAGTTGAGGGGCAGCACGGCGGACAGGGACAGGGGGTCCTGCCGAGGCGCGGGGGAGCAGCGGCGGAGTTGGAGGGAGTGAGAGAAATGAGTGCATGGATAGCTTGAGGGCACTAACAAACCGAGGAAGCACAGCAGGGCATGAGGGCACCGAGAGCAGGGAGAGCATGAGGGGGAGGCAGGAATGTCATGAGATAGGGGCAAGGAGAGCAGAGGGGCTTGTGTGACTCACGTGTTTGTGGTCGCAGTGGCCGCGTGTGTTCCACTCGCCGTCAAAGAAGTGCCGCGGTGACGCCGTGCGCAGCAGCAGCAGCGGCGCCCTCCTCCTCCTCCTCGCCCCTCTGCTGCCACCACCCCCTTCTGCTGCAGCTGCCCCGCCCTCCCCACCCCCAGGCTCCTCTACTACTCCCTCACCCCCCTGCGCCCCCTGACCCTGCCCTGACTCCGCTTGGCTCTGGCCACCCCCCATGGGTGCGACGTGGCGGTGCAGCCAGGCCATGGTGGAGCGCAGGGCGATGCGCTGCAAGGCGTGCATGACGCCGCTGCTGCCCTCTATGCGCACCGTGCTGCGCTGCCCGCTCCCTCTCTCGCCCTCACTGCCCTCGCCCTCACTACTGCTGCTGTTATCCGCATGGGCGTGTGGCAGCGGTGGCGCATCAACGTGCACCTCAAGGTGCAGCGCAGGGTCATCGATGTTGACGGGCTGCCCTGCAATGTGCACATCCCACTTGCTGTCTCGCACCTTGTGCCTGATGTCATGTGCAGTGGCATGGCGGGTGAAGGGGTTGCATAGGGAAGTGTGCTGGTTCGCATTGCTGTAGTGTGGGGTGCCGGCATGGCATGTGTTGCTTAAACACAAGTGACATTCACACATCATCTCATGACCTCACGGCATGCTCGTATCCCATGCCTCTCCCGCCCACCTGCTCCAGTGGTGAGCACTGTTCATGACGACCACGTCCAGGCGGTGCAGGTGGGTCTGCAGGAAGTCGTCGGGTTGATCCACGTGCATGGCGGCGCCGCCCTCCAGCATGTCACTCTCGTTGTAGTACGCTATCTGACGGGGGCAGGGGCAGGGCAGGGGCAGGGCAGGGGAGGGGAGGGCACGCAGGGCTGTTGTGTGCAGAGAGCGAGTGTGCGGCATGGGCGTGAGGAGCAGGTTGGGACGTGCAGTTAGTGCGGTGCACCCAGGCTCCACCCAAGCCCACTTTGCAAGGCACCGCCGGACAGCGCGCACCCACACACCTTGCAGAGGCAGGAGGACCAGGAGAAGACGATGGTGGTGTTGGTGGCGGGGAAGCGCACGGCATAGCCGGTGGGGCGCATGCGCTTGTACTTGCTCTTCACGGGCATGTTCACGAACCCCCACTCGCCCGCCACGTCCTCCGTGCCCCCTGGCGCGGCAGACGCGAGCAGGCAGAGCAGCGACTGGAACTGCTGCTGGGCCAGCGAGTCGCCCACCAAGGCGAGGGCGCGGTGGCGCAGGCGGTGGAGGAAGTCAAGCGGGTCAAACGGTGGCACGTCGCAGTGCGAGGGGCGCCAGAGCAGCGCCTCGTGGTGGAAGGAGGGGCGGTCGGGCGCCCTGCGGCACGCCCACTGCGGGCTGAGCCACGAGCAGTTGGCCCCCGAGTAGAGCGGTGGGCGCGTGGTGGGCACCCATGTGCCCTGTGACAGGTCGCACGCAGGGTGAAGCGCTGAGGGTGGAGATGGGTGGGGGGGAGAGGAGGGGCAGTGGTGGGATGGGGAGATGTGAGGGCGAGGCGGAGGTTGGGTTGGGGTACGGCAGAGCTGCCTTTTCATTCCGCCCGCCCAGCCAAGGTCGGGGAGAGGGTGCCACAAGACAGAGGCGCGGGGGCCAGAGGGGCAGGGAAGCAGGGGGACCAAGGGGCAGGGGGCAGGGGGGCATGGGGGCAGGGGGGCAGGGGGCAGGGGGGCACACCTCGTGATGGTGCTGAGGGGTTCGGGGCTGGACGGCGCGCAGCGCTGGCTGGCGGAGCTGCTGCACTCACCCCCTCGTGCTGTTCACTCGCATCGCCTTCAGTCACATCGCCTTGAGTCACATCGCCTTGAGTCACATTTCCTTGAGTGACTTGTGCTTGAGTCGAGTTTGCTACAGTCACATTGTCTCGGGTGGTGGTGTCTGCTGCTGCCCCCCCTGCACTCTCATCCTGACTGCTTCCCTCGCCTCGCCTACCCGCCCGCCTCTCCCCTCGCCTCTCCTTGCTCCTCTTTGATTTGCTCTCCTCATCTCTCTCGCTGCCCTCCTCACCTCCTGCCTCCCTGAATCGCTTTTTATCTCTCTCACCACTGCTGCTGCCCGGCCTGCGTCCCACCTCGCCCACTTCTGGCATAACGCCTTTGGCTCTTTCGAACACCCCCTCGCCACCACTCACACCCTCTCCTCCGCCCACACCCTCCCCTCCGCCCACACCCTCCAGTCCGCCCACACCCTCCAGTCCGCCCACACCCTCCTTTCCGCCCACACCCTCCTTTCCGCTCACACCATCCTTTCCGCCCTCACTCTCCTTCCCGCGCACCACCCCATCCGCCTCCCCTCTTGCGCCAGCGTCCCCCTCCTTATCCCTGCGCCTCGTCTCCTCCGCGTCTGCTCTCTTCGCGCCATTCTCGCTGGTCCCACCCTCCTCACCGCTCTCCATCGCACTAGCTGCCATCCGATCACCCGCGCTCCCATTCTGCGCCAGCAGGTCAGATCTCACAGTGTCGTCTGGGGGCCTGTCGCCTGTGTCGCCGGTGGTCGCAAGCAGGTCGCTCAGCGGCGGCAGCGGCGACCGCGAGAGCAGCAGCGAGCCGCCAGCGAGCAGCGCGGCGAGGAGGGCGACGAGGGCGAGGAACGCGGTGCGAGCAGGAAGGCGGTGCGGCGGCCAGCGGGATTGCGAGGATGGCAGGCGGGCGGGGACGGACGGCGGGGATGGGCGGATCGTAGGCGACGTCTGTGCGCGATTCCACCGCCCTTCTTCCACCTCGCGCGACACGTGGCCTTCGAGCGACAGACGTTCGTCATCTATCGCTGTTCGTAGCGACGCCGTCGAGTCGTCAGCGCGCACTAACGCGGTGGAGTCGAGCGGAGACGTTAGGCGGAAGGGCAGCAGCGGCTGGTCGAGAGGCACGACGGCGTGCGTCGTTGGCGACCGCTGCTGGAGACGCCCGCTGCTGGCGGTGGCTCTGAGAGGCGACGCCATGGCGCGTGTGCATTCGCAGCCGCGATCTGTAGTCGCAGCGCGTGTGCACTAGATGTAAATTGCCAGCGGGATACTGTGGTCGCAGAGTGCGTGCGAGCGAGGCGAAAGGCTGGAAGGCTCGCGCGGTCGGAAGGAAAAATTGGCGGCGAGATTCGTTGTATTGCCGTGAGCCGTGGAGTGGTAGAGTGAATGCTGTTGGGTAAGTACGGTCGAGTAGCATGCTGTGAATTGTAAGTCTCAGCTGTTTTACCGCTTTGAACCGCCTGACACTCTGTATAAACCGGAATCTGGTCTAAAGCCAGCAGCCCAAATTGCACAACTTTTAAAAGCTTGACGGGAGGGGGTATTTCTGGTCTGGGGTTTGGCGAAAGTTTTCGATTTCGATTCTTTCGTTTTTTTCGCCGAGCCCAGCCCGCCCTCGTATTTCGCCCTTGGGGTTGGTACAGTCCCCGAAAGTCCCAAATTGCAGGCGCATTTTTTTCAAACCTTGCAAACACTAGTTCGTCAAGTTTTAAAAGCTTGACCCGCGCGGCCCGCAATTTGGGCCGCGGGCTTTAAGTGGCTGGAGTTTCGGGCGAGCTGTTTTGCTTTCCTGGGGTGCTGCGGACAGCCATGTCGGCCAATCGACGGCTTAGGTTGAGCCCGCACTGTGTTTTGTGGCCGAACCGCGATCCAGGTGTGATCCAACTCGTTCTATTCTGACAACTTTAAGATTTGCCTGGTAACCCGCGGTCCTGATCTATGTGGGCAGGTTGTACATTTACAGTTCATGCTTCGTGGCTCAGAACGGTGGAAACTGGTCATCGAGGATTACCGTCTTGCGCCGTGACGCAACGAATCCAACCGCGGAGAATGTATAGCAAGACATATGACCCGCCTACGGCGAAACTCGCGTTAGGCCCGTAGAGCTCACCAATATTTCGCGTGATCGCTACATCCTTCGCTCGAATTGTGTTATCTCGATGGTGCAATACTCGTTTGGTCGCTCAAGAACACACGTAACACAATTTCAAAATTCGCAGGAGGTCCATTGCAATTCTCGCGTCAACGGGTAACTCTAGCCTTTTGTCGTTAGGGTTGTGAATGTGTGCACGCTTTCCAGCCATCCACACATCTCTTTCCGCTACTCATCCTGCAGGCCGCTGCCACTACTACTTCCCATCACTTATTCATGGCTCTTTCGGCGCGTCTCCCGTCGACCCCCCTCGCCTCTCGAGCCACGTCGCGCCACCATAGCGCGGCCGAACTTCTGTCGGCCGCTGCTTCGCTCCGCGCGGCGCACCCCTTCCTCGCCTCCGCCGCTTCGCCGTGCGCACTCACCCTCACCGCGTCACCCGCGCCGTCAGCCGCGGCGGACTCCGACGTTGCGCCGTTCTGCCCGCTCTTCTCGTCGCGACGCACCGCCTCATTCGTGCAGCGGGCAGGTTCACGAGCCGGGAGGCACGTGGCGCGCGCCATGGCAGAGGCGGACGCCACAGCTGCCGCCGGGAACGGCGGAGCTGCCGGGCCGGCACCCGTGGCGAGCGACGGTGAGTGAATGCTGCGCGGCAAGGGGCGACGAATGGGTCGGGTGCTGCCTCGGGCAGTGGAGGGTGGCGCACACGTGGCCGCACACACTGGTCTGGTAGCGCCATCAGCCTCCCTGCTCCATCTGTTTTGTCGCTCCTGTGCCTCCCTGCCCTTACCATGAGCTGATACTGCTTCTATCGGCCCCACTATTTGCACATGCGAGCACGGGAGCAGGGCAGCGAGTGGCGCGCGTGGCGCGGAGGACCAAGGAGACGGACGTGGAGGTGACGATCGCGATCGACGGCGAGGGGCGCTGCTGCTCCGCCACGGGCATCCCGTTCCTCGACCACATGATGGACGTCAGTCACCCACCCCTCATGCTCGTGAGGGGCGTGTGATGCAGGGCGTGTGATGCAGGGCATGTGATGCAGGGCGTGTGATGCAGGGCGTGTGATGCAGGGCGTATGATGCAGGGCGTGTGATGCAGGGCGTGTGATGCAGGGCGTGTGATGCAGGGCGTGTGATGCAGGGCGTGTTGTGCACGTGAGTGAGGCACTGAGCACGTTGAGTCACGTGTTGCCACATGCTGTCGTTGCTGGGCGACCATTTGCCACGTAACCCCCCCTCCCCACGCCTTTCCATCCTCTCCCCCCCCTGGGCACTCCTCCCTTCCACCCCTGCAATGCCATTCGCGCCGCCGCTCACCACACGGCCCTGCCCCGTGGCGTGGGTCTCCCCCCTGCGCACCCAGCAGCAGCTGGCGTCACACGGGCTGTTGGACGTGAGTGTGAGGGCGGAGGGCGATGTGCACATCGACGACCACCACACCAACGAGGACATCGGCCTCGCCCTCGGCTCCGTCAGTGCCCTCTGCCCTGCCACCCCGCTCCATCACGTGCTGTGCTCACCACCCATGTGTCGTGCCATGATATGCCTTGGCATGGCATGCCTTGCCAGCCACTTGGCGGGTCCTTTTGTGGATGGATGATTCACCATCATTTGATCCCGTGGGTGCCAAAGCACCATGAACCCACTTTCTGTCCACCCATTCCCCTGCTCCTGAATTTTTGCTCCACCCGCCCCACCTCCCCTCCGACCAGGCATTGGCGGTGGCGCTGGGGGACAGGAAGGGCATTCGGCGCTTTGGGGACTTCTGTGCGCCGCTGGACGAGGCGCTCATCCATGTGGTGCTGGTAGGCGCTCATCCACGTGGTGCTGGTAGGCGCTCATCCACGTGGTGCTGCATGTGAGTGTGTGAGAGTCTCGTGTACCTTCCCACAGCTGCACAGGGATTTGTGTTCGTCCACCCCGAAGAACTGGTCGACCGTCTCTTAGTGACCTCCTCTCTCCGCTTCTCCAGCCCTTCCTCACCCCCCTCCTGCCCCGCCAACCCCCTTTTCTGCTTTCCTCCACCAGGACCTGTCGGGGCGGCCGCACCTGTCCTTTGACGTCACCATGCCCACACAGAGGGTTGGCACTTACGACACCCAGGTGCTGCCCTGCCCTCGCCCCTCCCTCCGCTCTTTCTCTCCACGTGTCAAGCCTGCCTCTTTGCATTCGGGCGCCCTGCCTCCATCTTCAATTCACCCATCCCCTCTTGCATGCCCTCCTTCACTTCCCACCCCCCCCGTACCTCGTCCCGTCGCCCCACGCATTCCCTGGTGGGAGCGAGCAACACCAACACCAGCTGGTGGAGCATTTCTTGCATCGCCCACATGCATTGCCATTTCATCACTACTGTCTCATCCCCACCATCCTCTCCCCTCCCCCGTTTTACTCCTCCCTTCCCTCTCCCCCTCCCCTGCCTGCCACTCTCCGTGCGTGCGAGAGCAGCTGGTGGAGCATTTCTTCCAGTCGCTCGTCAACACCAGCGGCATGACGCTGCACATCCGCCAGGTGACGCCCTTCACCCGCCAGGTCACGCCCTTCACCTGCCAGGTCACGCCCTTCACCCGCCAGGTCACGCCCTTCACCCGCCAGGTGACGCCCTTCACCCGCCAGGCGACGCCCTTCACCCGCCAGGCGACGCCCTTCACCTGTGCATTCCGCCAGGTGCTTCCGGTAGGTGACGTGACACACTTGAGGGTTGACCGCATCTAGGCGCCCACGCATATTAGTAACCATGACACATGTGGCATGTGGTGTGATGAACATGTGGCATGTGGTGTGTTGAACATGTGGCATGTGGTGTGATGAACATGTGGTGTGATGAACATGTGGCATGTGGTGTGATGAGCATGTGGTGTGATGAGCATGTGGTGTGATGAGCATGTGGTGTGATGAGCATGTGCTGTGATGAGCATGTGGTGTGATGGACATGTGGTGTGATGGACATGTGGTGTGATGGACATGTGGTGTGATGGACATGTGGTGTGATGGACATGTGGTGTGATGAGCATGTGGTGTGATAGACATGTGGTGTGATGGACATGTGGTGTGATGGACATGTGGTGTGATGGACATGTGGTGTGATGGACATGTGGTGTGATGGACATGTGGTGTGATGGACATGTGGTGTGATGGACATGTGCCCCCTGCACCATTCATGTCATGCTGCTCTCTGCGCTCTGCCCTCTCGCTCAACCATGCTGTGCGGTCCGCCTCACATGTTCCCGCAAGTTATCTCCTCCGCAACACTCCCCCCCCCCCCCCCACCCTGCTCCTCCCCCTCCCCCCTGTTTCCTCTGTGCAGCTAGCGGGCAGCAACACGCACCACATAATAGAGGCCACCTTCAAGGCCTTTGCCAGGGCGCTGCGACAGGCCACGGAGATTGACCCCCGCCGCGCTCACACCGTGCCCAGGTGAATCCCCGGCTCTGCTCAGGTGAATCGCTAGTGCCCAGGTGAATTCCCACTGAATAAGTCAAAGCCCTTGTTATTTTAGGCAAATAACCAGCTGTGAGTCTTCTTGGGAAAAAGCGATTTGTTTCACTTGCAGTGTTGCCTGTCCACTCCAGCTTGCATGGGCAACAGCAGCACCTCAGGCATAGTACTATGCCTCTGTTGAGATGCCCCTTCACTCACATGGTGCCTCGCCTCCCCCCTCCATCTCTGCCTCCCCTTGCCTCTTTCACCTCCACTTAGTTCCAAGGGAGTCCTCTCACGCACGTGAGCCGTCTATCCAGCCAAGGCAAGGCAACCATGCTGCTGTGTCATGTCAATGCGCGGCGTAGCACTTATTGGTGGTGTGCAGCAGCATCTGCCATGGGAGTGCATATGTGTTGGATAGTCGCCCATTTATGTTCCCTCCGCAGAAACTGGTGCCTGATCTAAATTATGAAAGGATAAAAATTAACACGGTTGCAGATGTATATCCATCCCTTCATTGGATGTACCACATGTGAGCCCTTTCAATAGCACTGGAATGCATTACAATCCAGAGCACCTACAAGAACCCGGTTTCCCATTTATAGGCACTTGAAGCTATAAAAGAAAAATGATAACATGTGAAACGACTTCGCAACGGCGCGTACACGCGATATTCCAGAGCATGCCAGTTTCCCGCTCAGCCAGCGAAGATCTCCGTGGGACCACGTCACGGTCGCCTTCCCTCGCATTGCCCCGCGCTGCCCTTCCACATCTGCGGGACGCACTCCCACCCAGCTCGATCAGCCAATTTGTCTCCTCTGCAGCGCTGGAGCACTCAGCTCACCTCAACCCATCATTAGATTTGATGCACGCATCCTCTGCTTCAGTTCCTTCCAACACTAGTCCTCACCTCATTTCTCTCGCCTCGCCAACGCTTCTTCACTTCGCCTCTCACCTGCCTCGCCGCTCGCCGCATCGCGCCATGACGTCCTCCAGACTCGCCGCCGGCAGCTTGCGGATGGACGTTGTTCGCGGCTCGCATGGCGCTCGCCTGCCGCTGCTTCCGCGGGGAGGGCAACGGCGCTGCGCAGGTGATCCGCGTGTGCCGTCAAGCAGGCTCCTCCCCCGGCTCCCGCTCCTTCACTCCGCCGGGCGTTCGGGTCTATCCGCACCCAAAGCGCGGGAGTTGATAAGGTGCGTTGCTTGCTCTCGTTGGTTGCTCGCTTGTTGCCTGTTCTCACTGCCAAGTGCCACTCTCACCCGTCGTCTCCCCCACGCGCGGGCCACATTGGCGGTCTCGTCGCCGCCGTCGCCCTGTTTCCATCCCCGCCTCCTCCCCGTCTGCCCGCCCTCGCTCCCCCTTGTTACCTCCCTGTGCCGGACCGCGTGCTGCCGTCGCTAAGCCCTGAACCTCCCCCCGCCCGCGCTCCCCTCCCCGCAGCTGCCGCGCCTCCTTCAACGGCTTCGGCCGGCGATCCTCGCGCGCGCGGGATGACCGCAGTCACGCGCAAGCGCGCGCAGATGGGGGCATGTGGCAGGGGGAGGAGGGAGAGGAGAGGGGCAAGCGGGATGCGGGCAGATCAGCATCGGGGGGAGCGGGTCCGGCGTGGATGGGGATGGGCGCGGGGGAAGGGGGCGCGCGGGCGGGCGTGGGTGACGCGCAGCGGCTGCTGATTGGCGGCGCCGTGCTGGCGGCGGTGACGTGGCTCAAGTTCGCGACGGAGGGCCATCTGGGGTGGCTGGGCGACGGCGCGCTCGAAGGCGTCGCGCAGCTCTGGGTGCGTCGCGCCGCGCGCCGGACGTAGCGGCGCTGCAGCGTTGGGCTCTCATTGTCTCGTGTGTCGCATCCATCGCATGCGTATCTTCCGTCTGCGTCTCGCAGCCGATCGCTTTCTTGTTTCGCCCCTCATCCGCCCCTCCGCTGCAACCTCGCTCCCTCCGCCTCCCTCCGCCTCCCTCCGCCTTCCTTCTCCTCCCTCTCAGAACCGTCGTTGTCCCTCCACCATACCCCCTCATCACCACCCCCCCGCCCCCCCGTTCCCTCTTGTGCGTGTGCTTGCTTGGCAGTTCGTGTTCTATCTGTTGGACGTGGCGCTCACCACGGCCACGTGGATCGTCGGCAAGCTCACCTCCTCGCTCGCCGTCGCCAATGTACCCCCCCTCGCCTCCCCTTCCCCCCTCGCCTCCCCTTCCCCCCTCGCCTCCCCTCCCCCCCTCGCCTCCCCTTCCCCCTCTCGCCTCCCCTTCCCCCCTCGCCTCCCCTTCCCCCCTCGCCTCCCCTTCCCCCTCTTGCCTCCCCTTCCCCCAATCGCCTCCCCTTCCCCCAATCGCCTCCCCTTCCCCCCTCGCCTCCCCTTCCCCTCCCTCTTCTCCTTCTCCTCCCGCTTCCCCTTCCCCCCCGTTTCCCCTTCCCCCCCGTTCCCCCTTCCCCGCCGTTTTCGCTTCCCCTCCCGCTTCCCGCTTCGTTCGTTGGGAGCTTCGTTGTCTTTCAAGTCTTTGCAAGCGTGCCACGCCATGATAATGCCTCGGATATCTCACAAACAAAGCTCTTCGTTTTTCAAACGTTTTGGTCGAAACTTGCGTGCGATTTCGCGACCTCTCAGCGTCTCCCACCCCATTGCGCTGTGCGGTGTGCGGTGCCCCCCCACCCGTGTGCGCAGTGCCCGTGGTGCGACCACCAGTTCACTTTCGACAGGTGAGCCCACAGGGCCACGCCCCACGCCCTCACTGCTGCGAGCGGGCTGAAGGGCCTCAGCGCAATGGGAAGTGGTGAGGGAGAGCGCTACATAGGAGCACGGCAGGCTGCACACTCACAAGTTGACTCGTCACATGGTCTTTTGTGTCCGCCGCTCATCCTTCACTAGTCACTGCGTGCGCCCACCTCTTCCGCCAGATTCCCCTCTCCTGCCACGCTGCTTTGGACCAGCGGCCCTCACTCGCGTCCACACTGTTCATGTGTGTGTGTGTGATTGTGTGTGTGTGCGTGTGTGTGTGTGTGATTGTGTGTGTGTGTGTGTGTGTGTGTGTGTGTGCGTGCGTGCGTGTGTGTGTGTGTGTGTGTGTGTGTTTGTGTGTGCGAGTTGCACGGCATCACTTTCCCCGCCAACATGAGCAGGAATGCGGTGGCGCATGGAGCTCCAGTGTGCCCCTCCTGCCTGCGCTCCATGAAGTGTCAGTTCCCCTATCACACTCTCCACTTCCCTGCTTCTCATGCGATTTTGTCCGCTCACCCACCACTTCTTGGCTTGAACTACCTATGCTTGCTCCGCAGCACTTGTGTGCTTTCTCCTCTCCCATTTTTGCCTCTACTTTCCGTGTGCTAACACACTCTGTCTGTTGCTCTCAGATGAAGATGGTCAATTTCAGCAAGCACACGGCAGCAGCCGTGGATTTGCTGCACAATCAGGTAAGGCTGGCAAGTTGCACTGAGCATTCCTGTTGTCACCTCATGAAATGTGCCTTGTTCACTCCACATGCCATGGCATAGTTGCTGATGTACCGGTATGGTTGCGTGTGCCATGCGATGCAACAGGGTCACAATCTCAAGACAAGCAGGGATGGAGGGCTACAGGGACTGACAGAGTGGTGGACGTGGAGGCCACAATAGTTGACAAAGATTAGGCTAGGATCAATACAAAATATTACTGCTAGCATGTATAAAGTTTAGAGAAATGAGGGTGTTGTCACAATATGTATTTGTCTACGTACTCTTCATGCTGGATACGATACAGTTATGGTGTCAATGTAACAAGGTCACTATTAAGGCAACTTATCAGATTTTGGATTCAGAGGAATCTTCAGTGTCAAGCATGGTATGAGGTTCGCCTGCTACGAGGTGTCAATCTTGCCCTTTCAAGTAATTAATGAAATTTACACGACAGGGCACAGGCAACCAAAGCAACTGGGCAGTGGTTCATGAGCAGCTGAGCAGCTTCACTAGAGGCAACACAAGCCCTACAGCGCCACGAGGAGCATCTGACCCTGGGCGTGGGCATGCGCGCAGCTGCGGTCTACTTGGACTTGAGGTACTCATTGAGCACGTTCAGTGCCTCCGTCTCCTCGCCGTAGTCCTGCCACGCCAACCACACACAAGCACACACAACCACGAATGTTATTTCAGATCCTGTCGCATGCTCAAGCTCTTGATGGTGGTTACCCTCGTTTCACCAAAGAAATCACCGCATGGACACTTACAAGTCAACCCCCACTTGCACCATAATGAGGTACAACAGAACCAAACGGCCATATGTGCAACATGTAAAATCCACATGCAAGCGCTGCCCATAACCACCAACCAGCATTCTTCCACGCGCACCACCCATGCAAGTCCCTAAGCGCACCACAAACCCCCACGCGCACCATAAACCCCCTTGCGCAATAACAAACCCCCATGCGCAGTAAGAAACCCCCATGCGCAGCACAAACCCCCATGCGCAGTGACAAACCAACTTGAACTTCGCCAAACCCCATGCACTTAAAAAAAATCCCAAGCCCAGCAGCCCTGATCCTCTCCCCTCCTTTCCCCCCATATTGGAGCAGCGCGCCCTCCCCCCCGCTGACCTTGACGACGACGCAGGCGCAGCCGACGACCTTGCGCGCCTTGCCCTCTGAGTCCAGCTTGCACAGCCCCGCCCACTCGCCCAGCGTCTTGGCGCTCGGCACCTGCCACGCACCCAAGCACGCACGCACCACCGCACGCACACGACCCACCGCACAACTCAGCACCCCGCCTCACGAGACCGCTCTACACGGCCGGGCCATGCTGGAGCAGAGGGGCCACTGCATCGGCGCAGTCGGCACTGTCCAAATCATGGAGCGGCAGCAGTCAGCCCGCACCTGCTAGCCCGTCACCAGTGCGGTGCTCCTAAGCTAGCGTGCACGCAGATTCGAAGCACGGGCTGACAGCCTGCTGACCGGCTGCTGACTGTGCTGACTCATGACCGTGTTCTGGCTGTCTGCTGACCAGCTGAGGACCGTGTTCTGGCTGTCTGCTGACTAGCTGCTGACCGTGTTCTGACTGTCTGCAGACTACATGCTAACCGTCTGCTGCCGCAAAACCCCCTTGCAGCTTCGCTGGAATGAGCAGTCCGTGGCAGGGGTGCCTACACCCAGCCACTACCTTGCCTCTTCACGTCGCCCCCTTGACCTTACGCCAAAGCCCGCCGATAGCTAACCATCTGACACCGCACGGCGGGGAAAGCCCTCTCCCGTGACTGCGGCTGCCGCAGCAGCGGCGCAAACATGGATGCTGCAGGCGGTGCACGGGGAACGCACCTGTATGAGGTGTATGCGCGCACCTGCACGGGGACCCACCTGGATGAGGTTGATGTTGTGCTCGTGGCAGGTCGCACCTGGATGAGGTTGATGTTGTGCTCGTGGCAGGGCGCACCTGGATGAGGTTGATGTTGTGCTCGTGGCAGAGCGCCTGGACGAGCTTCTTGTAGTCCTCCTGGTCACAGTCCTGCGCCAGCACGCACAGCTGCGCGCTGCTCTTCTCCAGCGCCTTCGCCGACTCGTGCAGACCGCGCGCCAGCCCATCGTGCGCCAGCGCCTTCTTGAGCACGCGCTGCAGCGCCGTCATCGTGTCCATCGCCTCGGCGGGCGCCTCCACCTCCACGGCGGCGACCTCCGCCTCAATCGCCACGGGCTCATCTCTGCGCCGCGCCGCGGAGGGAGCAGGAGGGTGGGGGGGGGCGCGAGGAGAGAGAGTTGGTTACGGGTGTGGAGATACGATAGCAGAGAGCGGCGAGGCGACAGGTACGCGCACACACGAGTGAAAGGGGCGAAGAGCAGAGCTAAGAAAAGGCGAAAAGAAGCGTACCCGTCCGACATTGTCCTCGGCAGATTTTAAACGACTGCCTCCCTGCAAGCAGGCGCACAAGGTGGACAAACAGAGAACAACACAGACGGGAAGGGCAAGCGAAAGATGGAATAACAGAATCAAGTTTATTCAGGAAAGCGATCGGAACAGGGGGAAAACAGATGAAGACTGAACGAGCTCAAACGACGGATGCGGAGTGTCACGCCAGAAGGCGCTTACTCTGTCAATGACGTCCTCGAGTCCTCACCTGCCACATCCATGCAACACAATAGGAAGCGGGCCGACAACAGCGAGAAGAAAGCAGTAAATAAAGCAATTCTGCTCCAGAAAAATCCGAGGCAAGAGAAGACATGCAAAAAGAGAAAGATAAAACAGGAACCATGTGGCGGTCGACACTTGCATCCAGCGTTACCATACTGCGCAATACTGGTGCATTTGATCCTGGAAAATAATACAAGGACACTAACCCGTGCGAAGATTTGAGCCTTGAGAGAAAGTTCAGGTGAGCAAAAGAACGAGAGTAGAGACCCGAAGAGCTCATATTCAACCCACCAGAGCAAGGGCGACGAATACGCAGGATGGGCGACAACTTGCTGGGAGCTTCAACGAAGCCCAAAATATGTCTGCTCCAGAATCCACAAAAAAGAACTACAAATACAACCACATGAAGCATTTTATGAAAACAAAGAGATATAACAACAACACCATTCCATGTACTTCATTTGAGTTCCCAGAGAACGAAAAGGTAGAGATTGTTATGATACAGAATTAAATTGACATTTCTGTACTTACCAAGGATGAAGACGAAGGGCCAAGAAAAGCTCGGCGACTAAGATTTCAGCTGTTTTTGCCGACAATGCTTAGAAAACGCATAAACCCTTAAAGGCGTAGGAAAAAGCATTCTAAAACCTGAATGTTATTGCATATCAAATGACCCATATTCAAATACACCTATCAGGATCGTCTTGGCTTGGTTCGTGCGTAAAGAAAAGTTATGCACATACCTGTTCTTATCGACAAATGCTTAGACAGCGCATGAATCCCTATAGGCGTATGGAAAAGCATTCAACATGAATGTTATTGCATATTCGAATCGATCATGCTCAAATACACCTAATATAATCTTTTTGGTTTGGCTCTTGCGCAAATAAAAGTTTGGCGCATATGATTTGTCAGAATATATTTGATATATGTTCTGTATAAGCGCATATAGTTCTAGCTGTAGTGTAGTCCCATTATTGTCCTGTGTGGTGGTGCACCACTCCTTGCATGCTTCTCCTCTATTTGTACTTGTCATTCTATAGTTAAATCACTCATTTTGCTTGGACTTCTACTTTGCGTAAGGCTAAACCTTAGCTCCTACTCCTAACTAAGCATCCTAAGCCTAAACCTAGTTTCCCAGGTGCTTAGTATCTTGACATGGTATTAGAGTGTTTCGATCCTATGCCTACTACGCTTCCGCTCATGGGCCCCTCTGCCCGTTTTTCTGCCCGTTGGTTTTCTGCCCGTCGATTTCGGATCCCGTCGGTTTTCTGCCCGTCGCGCGCCCCGGGCGCGCGTCGATTTTATGCTCGTCGCGCACCCCGGGCGTGCAGCGATTTCGTCCCCGTCGTGCGCCCCGGACGCGCGACGGTTTCCTGCCCGTCGCGTGCCCCGGGCGTGCGACGGTTCTCTGCCCGTCGCGCGCCCCGAGCGTGCGACGGTTTTTGCCCGTCGCGCGCCCCGGGCGTGCGACGGTTTCTGCCCGTCGCGCGCCTTGGACGCTCGACGGGTTCTGCCCGCCAGCGCGCCCTGCTGTCGCCCGCGCACCTCCTACCCCGCCCCCCCGCCCACCCCCCTCCACCCTTCCCCTTCATCTCCATGCTGCGCGTGCGGCAGTGGGGGGGAGGGTATGGGGGTGGCCTCTCTCCCACTGCTGCAGCTGCTGCTGAGGGGGGGAGGGTGTGGGGGAAGACGAGGGAGTGTGGGGGGAGCTGGGGGTGGCGGGTGTGAGTAAGCTGCCCCTCCTCCTTCTCTCTCTCCCACTGCTGCAGCTGCTGCTGAGGGGGGGAGGGTGTGGGGGGAGCCGAGGGAGTGTGGGGGAGCCAAGGGAGTGGCGCTAGTGTTGTAGAAGGGGGTGTGGGGCAATGGGGGAAGTTGAACGGAGGTAGCCGTCGTGTTGCCAGCAGCGCCAGTAGTCCGGGGCCCTCGTGCTCTCGGTAGCCCAACGAGCCTGCTGCGCCAGTCGCCCGTGGGTCCGTTGCTCTTGCCGCTCCTCGTAGCCGTCGAGCCAGTTACTCCAGTAGTCCGGGGCGCTGTCCCGGTAGCTAATGTGCCAGCCGCTCCTGTCGCCCGCGTGTCTGCAACTTCAGCCGCCGCCTTCTATCTCCTCTCCTCTCATAGTTCTTCCCCCTCCTCCTCACTTCGCCTCTTCTTCTGCTGCGCCCTGCAGGGTGTACCACTTCAGGGGGTGTTCCGCACATGGCTATTCCTGCATGCACTTAGGGGGTGTGTCAGAATATATTTGATATATGTTCTGTATAAGCACATATAGTTCTAGCTGTAGTGTAGTCCCATTATTGTCCTGTGTGGTGGTGCACCACTCCTTGCATGCTTCTCCTCTATTTGTACTTGTCATTCTATAGTTAAATCACTCCTTTTGCTTGGACTTCTACTTTGCCTAACGCTAAACCCTAGCTCCTACTCCTAACTAAGCATCCTAAGCCTAAACCTAGTTTCCTAGGTGCTTAGTTGTCAGAACATTATAGCTTATACATTTGTGTAGGGTGTAGTGGGGTAGCCCATAAGGGGTACAACCCAATTAGGGTTAGTACTTGTACCCAACTCTTTCGTAGTTCAATCATTCTCGTTTCTCATCATGGTATCGAGCAGGTTCCCTAGTGGGAATGCTGCCTAGGGCCCACCACGATTTTTTTTTCCTGCCCGGAGCGCGCTTCACTCCTACCCGAGTCGCCTTTCGTGGCCTACCCTCGAGCCGCCCTTAGTGGCCCCTTTGGCCGCCCTTACGGCCCCTCGCGCCGCCCTCTAAGGCCCCTCGCGCCGCCCTTACGGCCCCTTACGGCCTCCTACGACCCCTCGCGTCGCCCTCTAAGGCCCCTCACGCCGCCCTTACAACCCCTTACGGCCCCGCCTAGGCCCCTTACGGCCCCTCCGCGGCCCCGTCTAGGCCCCTTGCGGCCCCGTCTAAGCCACTTCGCGGCCCTGTCTGGCCCCTTACGGCCCCGCCTAGGCCCCTTACGGCCCCTCCGCGGACCCATCTAGGCCCCTCCGCGGCCTCGTCTGGCCCCTTGTGGCCCCGTTTCGGCCCCTCTGCGGCCCCGCTTAGGCCCCTCTTCGGCCCCGTCTGGCCCCCCCTTTCGGCCCCGTCTAGGCCCCTTTCGGCCCTGGCTAGGCCCCTTTCGGCCCCGCTTAGGCCCCTTTCGGCCCCGTCTCGGCCCCTCTGCGGCCCCGCAGCCACCTGCGGCCCCACCGCCACCTGCGGCCCCGTCGCCGCCACCTACGGCCCTGTCGCCGTCACCCGCGGCCCCGTCGCCCTACCCTAGCGGCCCCATCACCGCTCTGCCGCCCAGCGGCCAACCCGCCAAACAGCACAGCAGCCGAGCCGCACACCTACCGAGCAGCCGAGCTGCCGAGCAGCCGAGCCGCCGAGCAGCCGAGCCGCCCAATAGCCGAGCCGCCCTGCCGTCGAGCTGCCCAGCAGCCGAGCCGCCCTGCAGCCGAGCCGCCCTGTCACCGAGCCGCCGAGCCGCCCTACTGTCTAGAAGCTGTTGTTCCTACCGGTGCTCCCCAAACCCTCCTTCCTCGGACTGGTGAGCTCACTTCCTCCTAGGCCACTGCAGTCATGGCTACCCCCAGTGTCCTCACTTTTGATGCTGAGGGCCGTGCCGTTGACTCTGAGGTCAAGGTCAATGACCTCCAGCTGTTTCTTCAGTGCGATAGGGCGGATGGCCTCTCCCTGTTTGACCTCAATTCTGGTGTCTCTCCTGCCCCTGCTGCTGATGCTGACGCCACTGTTTGCTCACATTGGGCCACGCGCGATGCTGCTTCTCGCCTTGCTGTGCGCCGCCACTTACCGACCACTGAGCGTGCACACTTTAGCCAGTACAAGAGTGCTCAGACCTTGTACGACGCTGTAGTTGCACGCTACTCTTCCCCTGCCACTGCTGCACTGAGCCGCCTCATGCTACCGTACCTCTTCCATGGCCTTGCTGCCTTTCCCACAGACGCTGACCTCATTACGCACCTCCTCACTAGTGACACTCGCTACCGCGCTGCGCTTCCTGCTAAGTTCTGCGCCAAGAACCCCCCCCCCCATGTACATCACCCTCTACTACATAGTCACTCGGCTCCCTGACTCTCTCCGCGTAGTCAGGGACCTCCTCCTCTCAATTTGCCCCACCACTCTCACCATTGACCTCCTCAAGAAGGCCCTCCTAGCGGCAGAGAAGAGCATAGTCGATGTAGGAGCCTCTCGTGGTGACCCTCGCACCCCCGTCTTTGAGGGGTGTTCTCCCTCCCCCCTCTTGCCCTCTGTTGCCTCTGCTGCTGCGGCCGACCTCGTTGGTTTCGATTCGGTTGGCGCTGTGTCTGCCCCGAGCGAGAAACGCCGCACCGGCAAGGGCAAGGGGGGCAAGGGCACTGGTGGGGCTGGAGGGGGCGGTGGAGGTGGTGGTGGAGGCGGTGGAGGGAGTGGGGGTGGTGGTGGGAGTGGTGCCGGGGGTGGCGGCGGCGGCGGCAGCAGTGGAGGCGGCGGAGGCGGTGGAGGTGGCGGAGGGAGCGGAGGCGGCGAAGGTGGCGGAGGAGGTGGAGGTGGAGGAGGCGGCGGAGGCGGCGGCGGCGGTGGTGGAGCTGGTCGCGACTCTGCGCACAGGAGTGGCTCAGGTGGTGGACCGCGCCAGCAGCAGCGGAGCGGTGTGACCCTGTCCCCTTAGCAGCTTCGTGAGTGGTACACTTCGCGTTAGCGCGGTGGGGGTTTTGGTCCCTGCATTTACGTCCTCCGTACCGGCGACCGAGCTGGTGAGCAGTGCGGAGGCCCGCACTCCACCCAGCGCTGCTTCGGTCGCCTGACGGACGCGTGGCGTCGCCAGTTCCCTGAGGCGTCAGAGATTCCTTGCTGGGGACATCTGTCTAGGGCGGGGGTTGCTATCTTTGATCTTGATTTTGATGCTATTCTTGCTGCCATGTATGCTGTTGATTCTAGTGTTGAGGGTGACCGTTACCAGTGTGTACACCTGACCCAGGCATTGAGGCTACTGCTCTAGGTGTTGGTGAGGCTGCTGCTCTAGGTGCTAGTGCGTCTACTGCCCCAGGTGCCACTGCGTCTGCTGCCCCTGGTGCTGGTGAGTCTGCTCTCTCAGGTACTACGTCGGCTCAGGCCTTCCACACCTTCACCCTTGACTTGGGTGCGCCCCGCTCCTTCTTTCGAGACCGCACCACTCTTACGCCGCTCACTCGGCCGGTTGCAGTCTCCCTTGCAGACTCCTCTGGGGGTCCTGTCCTTGCTAGCTTCTCCACTGTCTTACCGTGCCCCGCAGCCCCCTCTGGCACCCTGTCAGGTCTCTACCTCCCCTCATTCTCTACGAACTTGGTGAGTGGCGCGGACCTACTGGATAGGGGGGTTGACCAGTTCACTCCTGCGAGTCAGCGAGTGACCCACTGCACGTGTGCTCGGACAGGCCGACACTTGGCCACGTTCACCCGTCGGCCAGGGTCGAGACTGTACACCCTTACTACTGAGTCTCCTCCGGCTGCCGAGTCTGCCCAGGTAGCTGCGTCGAGTCAGGTGTTTGCTGCAGCGTCCAGATCTGGTCCTGAATCTGCCCCCTACTCGTGTCGTCTGCTATCCCATCAGACTCTCCTTTGGCACCACCACCTTGGTCACCCCTCCTTGCCTCGTCTCTGAGGCATGGCCTTCCGTGTCCTTGTCTCTGGTCTCCCTCGGTCTCTCCCTCCCCTACCTCCGGGGCCTGGCCCTACCTGCGTCCCCTTTGTCGAGGGGCGACAGTGCGCCGCCCCTCACTCCTCCGAGTTTCCTCCGACAGAGGCTCCGCTGCAGACTCTCCACATGGACGTGTGGGGCCCAACCCGCGTCAGGGGCGAGAGCGGTACTTTCTGCTGATGGTTGACGACTACTCGCGTTACACCACAGTCTTCCCCTTGCGTAGCAAGGGTGACGTCACAAAGGTGCTGATCGACTGGATCCGCGCAGGTCGTCTCCAGCTCAGAGAGAGTTTCGGCTCGGACTTTCCTGTTCTGCGTCTGCACTCGGATAGAGGCTAGGAGTTTTCCTCTGCCCGTCTGGGAGCCTTCTGTCATGCACAGGGCATCTGCCAGACCTTCACGCTTCCGGCCTCTCCACAGCAAAATGGAATTGCTGAGTGCCGCATTGGCATGGTCATGGACGTCGCTCGTACGTCCATGATGCATGCAGCTGCCCCCCATTTTCTGTGGCTGTTTGCGGTTGAGTACGCCGCGCATCAGCTCAACCTTCAGCCCCGGGTCTCCTTGACAGAGACCACCCCCGCCTTGCGGTGGACCAGGAAGGTTGGCGATGCGTCTGCGTTTCGGGTCTGGGGATCTCGGGCGTTTGTCCGCGGCTTGTCTACGGACTAGCTGTCCCCCCGTGCAGTTCCCTGCGTCTTCCTTGGCTTCCCCCCTGACGCGCCTGGCTGGCAATTTTACCACCCCACCTCGCGCCGTGTTCTGTTCTCCCACGACGTCACCTTTGACGAGTCGGTGCCTTACTACCATCTCTTCCCCTACCGCACTATGCCCCTCCCCCCGCCGCCGATCTTCCTTGCACCAGGTCCTCCCCCAGTAGACCCCCTCCCCCCTCAGGGTCCTGCCCCGTCAGGTGTGTCCCAGGTAGACGCAGTTGAGCCTGTCGAGGTAGCTGTTGACTCTTGTGCTGCTAGAGGTGCTGAGCCTGCGGGTGCCGAGTCTCGGGGTGCTGAGACTGGGGGTACTGAGCCTGGGGGTGTGGAGTCTGGGGGTGCTGAGACTGGGGGTGCTGAGTCTGGGGCTGCTGAGCCTGGGGGTGCTGGGTCTGGGTGTGCCGAGCCTGGGGGCGCTGGGTCTGTTTGTGTGGCCGCCGGCGGTGCTTCGTTGAGGCGGGAGCCGCTCTCTCCGCAGGAGCTGCGCGAGTGGTTTGCCCGCCGCTGGAGACGTGCTGCTGAGACAGGGGGTGTTGCTGGGGCTACTGGAGTTGGTCCTGCTGGAGCTGCTGGCGGTACTAGTGCTGCTGGAGCTGGAGCTGCTGGGGGTGTTGGCGCTGGTGTTTCTACTGGCGCTGGTGCTTCTGGAGGTGCTGCTGAGGCTGCTCGACGTGACGGTCCTACTGGAGTTGGTGCTGCTGGAGCTAGAGCTGCTGGGGGTGTTGGCGCTGGCGGTGCTGCTGGCGCTGGTGCTTCTGAGGGTGCTGGAGTTGGCGCTGTTGGAGCTGGAGGTGCTGCTGGCGCTAGTGCTGCCGCTCGTGGTACTAGTGCCATCCTTGCTGGTTCTTGAGGCGCTGAGCGGCCAAGGCCGTACTTCGTTCCGCTCCTGGAGCAGGTTCTTGGTCTCCCGCCCTCTCCTGGTCCTTCTCCTTCCTCAGAGTATCCACAGCCTGTCCACTCACAGTCACAGTTAAAACCCGCCTCCCCTCTGCCTGCTCCTTCTCCCTACAGTGGTCCCACTGGAGGTCTTGCTGAGCGTCGTGAGCCTGCGTCTCGTCTTGCTCGCACTAGTGGTCGTACTGCGCGTCCGCGTCCTCCTGCGGTCCCCGGCACACACCAGATGGCGCTGCGTCCTTCCACTGCTCCTCTGTGTGTCCCGTTGCCATCTCCTCCAGAGTCCTGTCTTCCTTCTCTTGTTGTCCCGGAGTCTGACTCCCTTCGTGCCGCTAGTCCTTCGGTCACGCGCCTTCTTGCTACAATTGTCACTGACCCTTCCTTTGAGTCCACTGCTGCGTCTGCCCTAGTTGGAAAGCTTGTCGACTTCGCTGCTCGCTGTCGTCCAGACTACGCTGCCAGTCTTGCTCTGAGTCTGAGTCTGAGTCTGTCTGTCCTCCGTCCGTCGGGTGTGAGTGTGCTCTTAGCACGGACGTCCTTGAGGACAGGCACGAGGAGTTCCAGTGCTTTGCTGCTGCTTTGCCCCATCTCGTGTCCACGCTGATTGCCCCTGAGGGAGACCCGGATGCACCAGACATCCCGACTCCTCGATCGTACGTTGAGGCGATCGAGGGTCCCTACTCCTCTCACTGGCAGTCAGCCATGGATGCAGAGATGGCTTCTTGGAAGTCCACAGGCACCTACGTCGACGAGGTTCCCCCACCTGGGGCGAACATCGTCAGTGGCATGTGGATTTTCAGGGTGAAGCGGCCGCCGGGTTCTCCGCCTGTCTTCAAGGCGCGTTACGTGGCTCGAGGCTTCAGTCAGCGGCAGGGAGTTGACTACTTTCAGACCTTCTCTCCCACCCCAAAAATGACCACTCTTCGGGTGCTGCTGCACATAGCCGCTCAGCGCGACTACGAGCTTCACTCTCTTGACTTCAGTACAGCTTTCGTGCAGGGCAGCCAACACGAGGAGATCTGGCTGCGCTTCCCTCCTGGCTTCACTGGTTCGTTTCCTCCTGGTACCCAGTGGAGCCTCCGGCGGCCAGTCTACGGTCTCCGCCAGGCGCCTCGTGAGTGGCACGACACACTGAGGACTACACTTGAGGCTCTTGGGTTTGCTCCTTCTACAGCCGACCCGTTGCTGTTTCTGCGCACCGACACCTCTTTGCCGCCGTTCTACATCCTCGTGTACGTCGACGACTTGGTCTTTGCCACTGCTGACACTGCTGGACTCGCCCATGTGAATTCCGAGCTGCAGAAGAGACACACGTGCATAGACCTGGGTGAACTGCGCAACTACCTTGGCTTGCAGATCACCCGGGACAGAGCACAGCGCACCATTACCCTGACTCAGTCACATATGGTGCAGCAGGTCCTTCAGCGCTTCGGCTTCACGTACTCCTCGCCTCAGGCCACTCCTCTGTCTACTCGCCACTCGTTCTCAGCTCTGCCTTGGAGCACAGACTGGAGCACAGAACGAAGCACATTGTTCTCTGCTACTTTCTGGCTCGTGAGCTGCAGTAGCGTGGTCAACTGCGCCTTGCTTATGTGGCCTCTGAGGCCAACACTGCTGATATCTTCACCAAGGCCCTTCCGCCTTGTGATCATCAGCGCTTCTGTACTTTGCTAGGTCTTGTACCTACCTGGCCTCACTTGCTCACTTCTTGATCTTGTTTGTACTGTACTCTTTCTATACCTGCACTTGCTTGTTTACCTTTATATATATGATCTTGCATGTGAACTGGCCTTGTGGCCTTACTCTAGTGCTCGGACTATGTGGTGACTTTGTGATCCACCCTGAACTTGCTTTGCTTTGCTTGACTGGTCTTGTGACCACTTGTTCTCCCCCACTTTGCCTATGGGGGTGTGTCTGAACATTATAGCTTATACATTTGTGTAGGCTGTAGTGGGAAAGCCCATAAGGGTTACAACCCAATTAGGGTTAGTAATTGTACCCAACTCTTTCATAGTTCAATCATTCTCGTTTCTCATCATTAGTATCTTGACATGATTCCACCCGTTTTTGCTGATCAATGCTTAGAAAGCGCATGAATCTCAATAGGCGTAGGAAAAGCATTCAACAATCTGAATGTCATATTGAAATACACCTATTAGAGCCTTTTTGGCTTGGTTCTTGTGCAAAGAAAAGTTCGGCTGTTTTTTACGACAAGTGCTTGGAAAACATATGAATCCATTTAGGCGTATGAAAAAGCATTCAACAATCTGAAAGTTATTGCATATTCGAATTCACCTACCAGAGCAATTTCAACTTGGTTCAGGTGTCAAACTTATATGCTATAGTCTATGTAGGCTATAGTGGGGTAGATAATATGGGGTACAACACATTTAGGTTTACCTACTTGTAGCCACCTGTTTCCTAGTGCAATCCATTTTCCTCGTACTTTTCTCACATTGTATAGAGTGGGTTCCCTAGTGGGACCGGTTTTTTGAAAGGACCCACCACTTGAAATTTTTTCCGCCCTACCGTCGTGGCCCTTAGCGGCCCGCCCTGCCGTCGCGGCCCTTAGCAGCCCGCCCTGCCATCGCGGCCCTTAGCGGCCCGCTGTGCCGCCCTTACCGGCCCGTCGCCGCCCTGCCACGAACCGCCCTGCCGCCTTTAGCGGCCCGCCCTACCGCCCTTGGTGGCCCGTCGCCGCCCTTAGCAGCCCACCCGCCCTTTCGTCGCGGCCCTGCGCGGCCCGCCCGCCTGTCGTCGCGGCCCTGCACGGCCCGCCCGCCTCATCGTCACGGCCCCTTATACTGCGGCAGCCACTGAGGCCCCGTGGCCTGCAGCAGGCGTCGCCCCTACTGCCGCCGTAGCGACTTTGCTGCAGCCGTCGCGCCTGCAGCCGCCGGTGCGACCGTCGCTATCGTCACAGCTGCGGCCCCACCGTCGCGGCCCTGCCCTGCCGCCCTGACGCAGCCCTGACCTGCCGCCGAGTCGCGGCCCTGCCCTGCCGCTTTGTCGCGGCCCCTACCCTTCCGGCGCGCCACGGCCCTGCCCCACTAGTCGTGGCCTCTTCCCTCCCCTCCTGCCACTGGTAAGCGCACCGCCGCACTCGCGCCGCCCTGTCGAGCGGCGCCGCCCTGCCGAACCGCGCCGCTCTGCTGAGTCGCGCCGCCCTGCCGAGTCACGCTGCTACTGCTGCTGCTGCTGCTGCTGCTGCTGCTGCTGCTGCTGCTGCTGCTGCTAGGCTACTGCTGCTGCTCCTGCTGTCATGGCTAGCCCTAATGTTCTTACCTTCCATACTGAGGGTCGAGCGGTTGACTTCGAGGTCGGGGTCGATGATCTGCAGCTGTTTCTGCAGTGCGATTCAAGGGACGGAGTCTCACTATTCGATCACACGTCCGGCGTCTCTGTCGCACCTGCTGCTGATGCTAACAGTGCTGCTCGCTCGCAGTGGTCCACGCGTGATGCTGCTACCCGTCTTGCTATTCGTAGTCACCTGCCGTCTGCTGAGCGCACGCACTTTAGCCAGTACAAGACCGCAAAGACTCTGTACGACGCTGTTGTTGCGCGCTACTCCTCCCCTGCCACTGCTGCCCTTAGCCGCCTCATGCTGCCGTACCTGTTCCCTGACCTAGCTGCTTTTGCCACAGTCGCTGACCTTATTATGCAACTCCGCACTAGTGACACCCACTACCGCGCTGCGCTTCCTCGCGAGTTCTGCGCCGCGGACCCCCCCCCTATGTACATCACTCTCTACTACTTCGTCACCCGGCTCCCTGACTCCCTTCGCTCGGCCAGGGACCACTTCCTCTCCCTTTGCCCCACCACGCTCACCGTTGACCTCCTCGAGGAGTGCCTCCTTGTGGCAGAGAAGAGTATAGTCGCTGTAGGAGCCTCTCGTGGTGACCCTCGTGCCCCTTTCTTTGAGGGTTGCTCCCCCGTTCCCCTTTTGCCTTCTGTTGCCTCTGCTGTTGCTGTCGACCTCATTGGCACCGAGTCGATTGGCGCTGCGTCTGCTCCTAGTGGGAGGCGCCGCAGTGGCAGGGGTGATGGAAAGTGGGAGAATTGGCCGGGTTGACGGAAAGCGGGAGAATGGGGCGGGGTGATGGAAAAAGGGAGAATAAGGCGGGGTGTTGGAAAGCGGGAGAGTGGGGTGGGGTGATGGAAATCAGAAGAATGGGGTGGGATGATAGAAAGCGGGAGAATGGGGCGGGGTGATGGAAAGCAGGAGATTGGGGCAGGGTGATAGAAAGCGGGAAAGTGGGGCGTGGTGATGGAAAGCGGGAGAATGGGGCGGGGTGATGGAAAGCGGGAGAATGGGGCGGGGTGATGGAAATCGGAAGAATGGGGCGGGGTGATGGAAAGCGGGAGAATGGGGCGGGATAATGGAAAGAGGGAGAATGGGGCGGGGTGATTGAAAGCGGGAGAATGGGGCGGGGTGATGGAAGGCGGGAGATTGGGGCGGGGTGATGGAAGGAGGGAGAATGGGGCTGGGTGATGGAAAGCGGGAGAACTGGGCGGGGTGATGGAAAGAGGGAGAATGGGGCGGGGTGATGAAGAGAGCGAGAATAGGGCGGGGTGATGGAAAGCGGGAGAATGGGGCGGGGTGATGGGAAGCGGGAGAATGGGGCGGGGTGATGGAAAGCAGGAAAATGGAGCGGGGTGTGAAAAAGAGGGAGAATGGGGCGGGGTGATGGAAAGCGGGAGAATGGGGCGGGGTGATGGAAAGCGGGAGAATGGGGCGAGGTGATGGAAAGAGAGAATGGGCCAGGGTGGTGGATAGCAGGAACTGGGGCGGGGTGATGTAAATCAGGAGAATGGGGCGGGGTGATGGAAAGCGGGAGAATGGGGCGGGGTGATTGAAAGCGGGAGAATGGGGCAAGGTGATGGATAGCGGGAGAATGGGTTGGGGTGATGGAAAGTGGGAGAATGGGGCGGGGTGATGGAAAGCGGGAGAATGGGGCGGGGTGATGGAAAGCGGAAGAATGGGGCAGGGTGAAGGAATGCAGGAGAACGGGGCGAGGTGACAGAAAGCGGGAGGATGGGGCGTGGTGATGGAAAGCGGGAGAATGGGGCAGGGTGATGGAAAGAGGGAGAATGGGGCGGGTTGATGGAAAGCTGGGGAATGGGGCAAGCCGATGGAAAGAGGGAGAATGGGGCGGGGAGATGGAAGGAGGGAGAATGGGGCGGGGTGAAGGAAAGAGGGAGAATGGAGCGGGGTGATGGAAAGCGGGAGAATAGGGCGGGATGATGGAAATTTGGAGAATGGGGCGGGGTGGTAGAAAGCGGGAGAACGGGGCGGGGTGCTGGAGCAAGGGGGGCAAGGGTGCTAGAGGAGACGGTGGGGGCAGCGGTGGTGGCGGTGGAGGCGGCGGAGGGAGTGGGGGTGGAGGTGGGGGTGGTGGCGGGAGTGGTGGCCTTGGTGGCGGTGGTGGAGTTGGAGGCGGCAGCGGCAGCGGCAGTGGGGGTGGCGGAGGCGGCAGCGTCGGTGGGGGTGGTGGCGGCGGTGGTGCTGGTCGGGGTGGCGCTGTGCAGTGGGGAAGCCTTGGTGGTGGCCAGCGCCAGTAGCAGCAGAGTTCTCGTGAGACCCTGTACCCCCAGCAGCTTCGTGAGTGGTACGCTGGGCGTGGGAGGTCTGGGGGTGCTGGTCCTTGTGCTTACGTTCTCCACAGTGGCGAGCGCAGTGGGGAGACACGCGGGGGGCCGCACGCCACGCACCGCTGTTTTGGCCGCCTGACTGACGCCTGGCGTGCACAGTTTCCTGGCGCCACGGAGCTCCCGCGCTAGGGTGATTTGCTTAAGTCTGGTGTTGCTTTCTTTGATCTTGACTATGTTGCTATCCTTGCTGCTATGTATGGTGTGACTATTAGTGCTAAGGGTGACTGTTACCTATGTGTTCCGCCTGACCCGGACATTGAGGTTGCTGCTCTAGGTGCTAGTGAGTTTGCTGCTCCAGGTGCTGGTGCGTCTGCTCTCTCCGGTACCGCGTCGGCTCAAGTCTTACACACGTTCACCCTTGACTCGGGTGCTTCCCGCTCCTTCTTTCGCGACTGCACCACACTCTTGCCGCTCAGACGGCCAGTGGCAGTCTCTCTGGCTGACCCCTCTGGGGTTCCGGTCCTTACACACTCCTCCACGGTTCTGCCGTGTCCGGCAGTCCCGTCTGGCTCTCCACCTCCCCTCGTTCTCCACGAACTTGGTGAGTGGAGCTGACCTTCAGGATGCCTGGGTTGACCGGTTTACTCCTAGAGGTCAGCGGGTGATCCACTGTTCGTGTACTCGGACAGGCCGACACCTAGCCACATTCACCCGTTAGCCTGGGTCGAGCCTGTACACCCTGTCTACCGTGTCTCCTCCGGTTGCTGAGTCTGGTCAGTTAGGCGCTTCAGGTCAGGCGTTTGCTGCAGCGTCCCCATCTGGACCTGAGTTTGGTTTCTGCTCGTGTCGCCTCCTGTCTCACAGACTCCCCTCTGGCAAGGGCAAAGACCAAGTCGTCGACGTACACAAGGATGTAGAATGGCGGCAAAGAGGTGTCGCTGCGTAGAAACAGCGATGGGTCAGCAGTAGAAGGAGCAAACCCAAGAGCCTCAAGTGTAGTCCTCAGTGTGTCGTGCCACTCACAGGGTGCCTGGCGAAGACCGTAGACTGGCCGCCGGAGGCTCCACTGGGTACCAGGAGGAAAGTCCCAGTGAAGCCAGGAGGGCGGCGCAGCCAGATCTCCTCATGCAAGCTGCCCTGTAGGAAAGCAGCGCTGAAGTCAAGAGAGTGAAGCTCGTAGTCTCGCTTAGCGGCTATGTGCAGTAGCACCCGAAGTGTGGTCATCTTAAGGGTGGGAGAGAAGGTCTGAAAGTAGTCAACTCCCTGCCACTGATTGAAGCCTCGAGCCATGTAACGCGCCTTGAAAACAGGCGGATAACCCGGCGGCCGCTTCACCCTGAAAATCCACATGCCACTGACGATGTTCGCCCCAGGTGGGGGAACCTCGTCGACGTAGGCGCCTATGGACTACCAAGAAGCCATCTCTGCGTCCATGGGTGACTGCCACTTAGAGGAGTAGGGACCCTCGATTGCCTTAGCGTACGATCGAGGAGTCGGGATGTCTGGTGCATCCGGGTCTCCCTCAGGGACAATCAGTGTGGTCACGAGATGAGGCAAAGCAGCAGCAAAACACTGGAACTCCTCCTCCCTGTCCTCAAGGACGTCCGTGCTAAGAGCACACTCACCCCCGACGGACGGAGGACAGACAGACGCAGACTCAGCAAGGAGACTAGCAGCGTAGTCTAGACGACAGCTAGCAGCAAAGTCGACAAGCTCAGATTCGGAGGCAGACGCAGCAGTGGACTTAAAGGAAGGGTCAGTGACAACAGTAGCTAGGAGACGCGTGATAGTAGGATTGGCAGCACGACGAGAGTCAGACTTTGGGTCAGCAAGGACAGGAAGAGAGGACTCTAGAGGAGATCGCAACGAGACACGCAGAGGAGCAGTGGACGGACGCAGTGCCATCTGGAGTGTTTCTGGGTTTAGGCTGCGAGTGGACAGGCTATGGACACTCTAAGGGTGGAGCAGGACCAGTAGAGGGCGGGAGACCAAGATCCTGCTCAAGTAGCGGAACGAAGTACGGCCGCAGCCGCGCAGTGCCTGTAGAACCAGCAAGGACAGCACCAGTACCCCAAGCAGCAGCACCAGTGTCAGCAGCACCGCCAGCGCCAACAGCGCCAACTCCAGCACCTTTAGACGCACCAACGCCAGAAGAACAACCAGCGCCAGCAGAACCACCAGCGCCAACACCCCGAGCAGCTCCAGCTCCAGTAACTCTAGCAGCTCCAGCAGCACCAACTCCAGTAGGACCGGCAGCTCCAGTACCGCCAGCAGCTCCAGCAGTACCTCCAGCAGCATCCCCAGCCCCAGCAGCTCCAATACCGCCAGTACGAGCACCTCCGGGACCAGCAGCAACAGTAGTACCTCCAGCTCTAGCAGCACGGCTCCAGCGCCGGGCAAACCACTCGCGCAGCTCTTGCGGAGAGAGCGGCTCCCGCCTCGACGAAGCACCGCTAGAGGACACAAGAGCAGACCCAGCACCCCCAGGCTCCGCACCCCCAGGCTTAGAACCCCCAGGTTCAGCACCCCCAGACTCAGCACCCCCAGGCTCAGCACCCCCAAACTCAGCACCCCCAGGCTCCGCACCCCTGGACTCAGCACCCCCAGGCTCCGCACCCCCAGACCCCGCACCCGCAGGCTCAGCACCTCGAGCAGCACCAGAGTCAACAGCTATCTCGATAGGCTTGACCGCGACTACCTGGGACACACCTGACGGAGCAGGACCCTGAGGGGGGAGGGGGTCTACCGGGGGAGGACCTCACACAAGGAAGAGCGGCGGCGGGGGAAGGGGCGTAGTGCGGTAGGGGAAGAGACGTTAGTAAGGCACCGACTCGTCAAAGGTGACGTCCTGGGAGGACAGAACACGGCGCGAGGTGGGGTGGTAAAACTGCCACCCAGGCGCGTCAAGGGGGAAGCCAAGGAAGACGCAGGGAACAGCACGGGGGGACAGCTTGTCCGCAGACAAGTCACGGACAAACGCCCGAGATGAAACGCAGACGCATCGCCAACCTTCCTCGTCCACCGCAAGGTGGGGGGGGTCTCAGGCAAGGAGACCCGGGGCTGAAGGTTGAGCTGATGCGCTGCATACTGAACCGCAAACGGCCACAGAAAATGGGGGGCAGCCGCATAGATCATGGACGTACGAGCGACGTCCATGACCATGCCAATGCGGCGCTCAGCAATCCCATTTTGTTGTGGAGAGGCCGGAAGCGTGAAGGTCTGACGGATGCCCTGTGCACGATAGAAGGCTCCCAGACGGGCAGAGGAGAACTCTCCGCCTATGTCAGAGTGCAGACGCAGAACAGGAAAGTCCGAGCCGAAACTCTCCCTGAGCTGGAGACGAGCTGAGCGGATCCAGTCGATCAACACCTCAGTGACGTCACCCTTGCTGCGCAAGGGGAAGACTGTGGTGTAACGCGATTAGTCGTCAACCACCAACAGGAAGTAACGCTCGTGCCCCTGTCCACGGACGCGGGCTGGGCCCCACACGTCCATGTGAAGAGTCTGTAGGGGAGCCTCTGTCGGAGGAAACTCGGAGGAGTGAGGGGCGGCGCGCTGTCGCTTCTCAACGCAGGGGACGCAGGTAGGGGCAGGCCCCGGAGGAAGGGGAGGGAGAGACCGGGGAAGACTTGAGACAAGGACACGGGAGGCCATGGTGACCCTCGCACCCCCGTCTTTGAGGGGTGTTCTCCCTCCCCCCTCTTGCCCTCTGTTGCCTCTGCTGCTTCGGCCGACCTCGTTGGTTTCGAGTTGGTCGGCGCTGCGTCTGCCCCGAGCGGGAAACGCCGCACCGGCAAGGGCGAGGGCGCTGGAGGGGCTGGAGGGGGCAGTGGAGGTGGTGGTGGAGGCAGTGGAGGGAGTGGGGGTGGTGGTGGGAGTGGTGCCGGGGGTGGCGGCGGCGGCGGCAGCAGTGGAGGCGGCGGAGGCGGTGGTGGTGGCGGAGGGAGTGGAGGCGGCGGAGGTGGCGGAAGAGGCGGAGGTGGAGGAGGCGGCGGAGGCGGCGGCGGCGGCGGCGGTGGTGGAGCGGGTCGCGACTCTCCGCAGAGGAGTGGCTCAGGTGGTGGTCCGCGCCAGCAGCACCGGAGTGGTGTGACCCTGTCCCCTCAGCAGCTTCGTGAGTGGTACACTGCGCGTCAGCGCGGTGGGGGTTTTGGTCCCTGCACATACGTCCTCCGTACCGGCGACCAAGCTGGTGAGCAGTGCTGAGGCCTGCACTCCACCCAGCGCTGCTTCGGTCGCCTGACGGATGCGTGGTGTCGCCAGTTCCCTGAGGCGTCAGAGATCCCTCGCTGGGGAGATCTGTCTAGGGCGGTTGCTGCCGTGTTTTATCTTGACTATGATGCTATCCTTGCTGCCATGTATTCTGTGACTACTAGTGTTGAGGGTGACTGTTACCTGTGTGTACCGCCTGACCCGGGCATTGAGGCCACTGCTCTAGGTGCTAGTGAGGCTGCTGCTCTAGGTGCTAGTGCGTCTGCTGCCCCAGGTGCTAGTGCGTCTGCTGCCCTAGGTGCCAGTGCGTCTGCTGCCCCAGGTGCTGGTGAGTCTGCTCTCTCAGGTACTACGTCGACTCAGGCCTTCCACACCTTCACCCTTGACTCGGGTGCGTCCCGCTCCTTCTTTCAAGACCGCACAACTCTTACGCCGCTCAGTCGGCCGGTTGCAGTCTCCCTGGCAGACCCCTCTGGGGGTCCTGTCCTTGCTAGCTTCTCCACTGTCTTACCGTGCCCGGCAACCCCCTCTGACACCCTGCCAGGTCTCTACCTCCCCTCGTTCTCTACGAACTTGGTGAGTGGCGCAGACCTACAGGATAGGGGGGTTGACCAGTTCACTCCTGCGAGTCAGCGAGTGACCCACTGCACGTGTGCTCGGACAGGCCGACACTTGGCCACGTTCACCCGTCGGCCAGGGTCGAGACTGTACACCCTTACTACTGAGTCTCCTCCGGCTGCTGAGTCTGCCTAGGTAGCTGCGTCGAGTCAGGTGTTTGCTGCAGCGTCCAGGTCAGGTCCTGAATCTGCCCCCTGCTCGTGTCGTCTGCTGTCCCACCAGACTCTCCTTTGGCACCACCGCCTTGGTCACCCCTCCCTGCCTCGTCTTCGAGGCATGGCCTCCTGTATCCTTGTCTCTGGTCTCCCTCGGTCTCTCCCTCCCCTACCTCCGAGGCCTGGCCCTACCTGCGTCCCCTGCGTCGAGGGGCGTCAGCGCGCCGCCCCTCACTCTTCCGAGTTTCCTCCGACAGAGGCTCTGCTGCAGACTCTCCACATGGACATCTGGGGCCCAGCCCGCGTCGGTGGGCAGGGGCGCGAGCGGTACT